TCACCCACGATATATCTGGTAAACTGACTGTTACTAAGTGACGTCACACCATGTTGACATACCTTTAAGTTCTATTATTTGAAGTTTAGGGTATATGACGTTTTATTTCAATTATACTCAGTGTTCAAAGGGTTAACTGTTATTTTAGGTCTCACCTCTATGGAGTGTTGGTTTCAACACTGCCCTATGTAACCCCGAACTAAGGATTTACCAGTCAAACAATGTAACTCTACCCTCAGATGTCCTATAAATTCCTCAAAGTATAACCTTTAAAAATACTTGTTTCTGCAGGACTGTAGCAAATAGGGGTCCCTGAGCAATATCCCCTGAAAAGTCATGTATGGTTGATGATGTATTGGACATCACAAACATACAGATCAATGAAAAGATGATGACAAGATGGCCATAAGACCATGCTTACATGACTACTGCATGTTCATCGACTGCCGGGCTAGAGCGGAAGTTTTCCTTTTTCTTCACTCCACCCCAAGGAATTTCCGAAGGGATAACCTCAAAAAGACCTTGTATAAATTGTGGTGCACGTGAATATATAATATTCTTTAAATATTCTATAAAGTTCTTTTTAGACGGAATTTATCTATTTCTTCTTTCTTACTGCCCCCAAAATTTTAGTTCCCCATGAAAATCTGCTGTCCACTTGAAGGAATTCCTTCAGGGATAACCTCAAAAAGACCTTGTATAAAAATTGTAGTCTATGTGTGTGTGTGTGTATATATATATATATATATATATATATACATATATATATTAATGTACAGATCTTGTAGAATTCAGCCAATTCTAAGGCTGCCTTTCTTTGAATCTGATCAATACTTTAGTCAATAACGCCCAGTCTTATTACTCGTCACTGTAGATTGTTTGTGTGATAATCAAGTCTATAAGGAAGACTAGATCAGAACCATCAACTCTTCGTGTCGTTAAGTTTCCGTGTCTTTCCAATGCTGAGAATGAGAACTATTGATTTTTATATTCTCTTCCTTTTTCTTATTCATTGACTATTTCATTGGCATGGCTTCTGTCATCTGTATTAGTCAATCTAGAAATTAGGTCTTGTGGTTTCTTTAAGTTTCCTGGGGTTGAGCTGGGGTAAAGGTGACTTCAGGGTAGGTGGCAGGGTGTAGAGAGATAGGAAATGCACTTTGGTCTAATTCATTGGCATTGACTCTGTTATCCATTTTAATCTATCTAGAAATTAAGTCTTATTGCAAACCCTGTTGCCCTTAGGGGTGGACAGTGGCGTATTTGGGGGGGGGGGTCTTTGGGCCTGGCACCCCCTAAAACCATGGCTTTAAGAAGCTTCAGACTTTTTGACCTCCTCACCAGAGAGAACACCTCTCATTTTTTATCCCCCCCTCCCCACCCGACCCAGTGTGCAATAAAAAGCACTCAGGGCCTAGGGCCTTAATTTATTGTGCTATCTATGATGTCTCATTTCCTCAGACCTGAATGATAAATAGGGTCAAAAACAGTTGAAATATCAACCTTCACCAAGCAAGCATGACTAGAGGAATCTGGATGTAAAATATTATGCAAGGAGTGGGAGATCTAATGTAACATATGGAATATTTTCTTTTTCAGGGGTGTGGTGGTGACTGATTTAGACCTAACAAAGTTGGATATCAATCAGTGTGCAGAGGATCAATCTTTGTTTTCTAATTCTCATCGTTGTCGACGAGAAACTACAAAGGTATGCAAATCTTTCAATAAATTCTATCAACTTAAAGTATGCAAAGTTCATCATAAATGTCATAAATTATACTGGAAAATATTTCTAAAGTATGCTATTTATATCTAAGAATCTACTTGATCAGATTGAATTTTGTGTATACGGTTTATTTTAAACGGAAGGTACTAATTGTTAATTAAGCAGTTTGACCTAGTTTTGGTGTTGGCTTTATAATGGTTTGATATTTTGAGTTGAAACGTTAGGAATAAGTAGGAGACTTCATATTTCTCTACAATTAGGTACCGGTACTTATTTTACTTAAATCGGTATAGTAGTCTTCTTACAAATACCAAAAACAAATTATAAAAGTGTATGTAAAATCATTTTGGCATTAAAATATTATGTTATTTAAGTCAGTTGCAATAATTTTCATGTGCCAAATATTCCATTAGGCAGTTACTATGCACTAAAGTTTCATTTAAGTCAATCATAATAATTTCAATACACAATAATTCCAATAAGTATTAATGTACTGTTGGGAAGTCACATTAATTTTGTATGTAATAACGTTCCATAAGGTAGTCATAGTAAACCATAAGCAATAATCTTCTATAAGCGACTAGCAATAATTTCAATAAGTAACAATGTTTCGTTAGGCAGTCACAATAATTCAATGCTCAATAATGTTTCACAAACCTGTCGCAATAATTTCAAATACTCAATTATGTTTCACAAACCAGTCGCAATAATTTCAAATACTCAATTATGTTCCATAAGGCAATCATAGTAAACCATAAGCAATAATCTTCTATAAGCGACTAGCAATAATTTCAATAAGTAACAATGTTTCGTTAGGCAGTCACAATAATTCAATGCTCAATAATGTTTCACAAATCAGTCGCAATAATTTCAAATACTCAATTATGTTCCATAAGTGAGAGCAATTTGTTAAAATTTACCATAGAACATATGATAAAATATTAAAATAGGAGTAGTATCACCATGCATTATGGTAAACACACCAGGTTGCCATGTAGAATATTGAATACATAAAAAAAGATAAACTTAATTAAGTTATTAACATGATATTGGCAATATAAAGGCCAGATAATCTTGTTTTTAATAAAAACATGCACTGCTCAAATTTCTTCTTGGTGCAATGAAAATTTTTTTTTCGTTAAGTTGCTGTAGTTCTTCCACATAATTTGAAGAACAAAACAAATTTGGGAAATTTGCAAGCCCATCAACTTGCTAACTCGCTAACACAGATACATTTATTAAAACTTATTTATTGCTCTTGGTATGAAAAACTATTTATTCTTGAAGAGAACTGATAACAGCTGGCTAATTCTAGAAAGCACTGGTTGTGGTATAAATATATAGGTGTATGTCTAGTACACATATTTCTTGCTCTTAGTATGCAAATTATACTGGATGCTTTGATCCAAGAAATGCTTACAAGGAACATTTTATTTGCAGTCATAGATCAAAGTAAACTCTGAAAACAGAGTGACATAAGAATTGAATTCATTTGAATATTTATTTTCTCATTCTAGTGCGTTCATATCCCTGGAAATGGGTTTGCATGGGGGAACTATCAGTGTCACTGTAGCAACGGATTTTATTACCCAGAGGATTTGGCCGTCGACAAATATTTTGATGGGGAGAATGTGGAAAAACTATATTTGGACTATGTTCAAAACATGTCATCGGACTATTTGACTAGCTTCCAGTGTCTTCCGTGTCGGAAAGGATGTGAGGAATGTGAGGGAGAGGTGCCGTGTATAGTGGAATATAACGTATTATTACGTGGAATTCCGTTAGGGATTCAGAGTTTTTGTCTGACTGTGACTATAGTGTTAGCCATTGTTGTTATTCGACTACGTAAAGCCAAGGTAAGATCATTACTTTATTTGATATTTTTTGTTGTTGACTGATTTCCTCTGAACCAATCAGAAATAAAGTTTTATTTGATCGAGATTGAATGATAAATGAATGATATGGTGATGTTATCCAGATGTTATGTTTCATGTTTTCTCTACTGGTTTCTACACTTGACCTAACTGTTGTTATTGTGAATTAGTAATAGGGCCATGTAGAAAGACATTTGTGGATGCAATATAATATAGTCCAGCATTCCTGCTCATCTGGTTATCATGTCTTAGGGATATATTTAGCTCATAAAAGTTTTCATATGATTGCCCTTAGTGAAATATTGTGTTTAAACTAGTTATCATCATCATATGATTGCTCTAAGTTATATATTGTGCTCAAACTAGTCATCATCATCATATGATTGCTCTAAGTCATATATGGTGCTCAAACTATTTATCATCATATGATTGCTCTGAGTGATATATGGTGCTCAAACTATTTATCATCATATGATTGCTCTGAGTGATATATCGTGCTCAAACTATTTATCATCATATGATTGCTCTGATTGATATATCGTGCACAAACTATTTAGCATCATATGATTGCTCTGAGTGATATATGGTGCACAAACTATTTATCATCATATGATTGCTCTGATTGATATATGGTGCACAAACTATTTATCATCATATGATTGCTCTGAGTGATATATCGTGCTCAAACTATTTATCATCATATGATTGCTCTGATTGATATATCGTGCACAAACTATTTATCATCATATGATTGCTCTGAGTGATATATATCGTGCTCAAACTATTTATCATCATATGATTGCTCTGAGTGATATATCGTGCTCAAACTATTTATCATCATATGATTGCTCTGAGTGATATATCGTGCTCAAACTATTTATCATCATATGATTGCTCTAAGTGATATATCGTGCTCAAACTAGTTATCATCATCATATGATTGCTCTGAGTGATATATTGTGCTCAAACTAGTCATCATCATATGATTGCTCTAAGTTATATATCGTGCTCAAACTAGTTATCATCATATGATTGCTCTGAGTGATATATCGTGCTCAAACTAGTACTATTACTAGGTGCTCTTGTTCAAAGTTATCATATGATTGCTCACACTTGCTCAAAGTTGCTCTTGTTCAAAGTTTTCATCATATGATTGCTCCAACTAGCTGTCATATGATTGCTCCAACTAGCTGTCATATGATTGCTCCAACTAGTTAACATATGATTGCTCCAACTAGTTATCATATCATTGCTCCAACTAGTTATCATATCATTGCTCCAACTAGCTATCATATCTTGCTCCAACTAGCTGTCATATGATTGCTCCAACTAGTTATCATATGATTGCTCCAACTAGTTAACATATGATTGCTCCAACTAGTTATCATATTGCTCCAACTAGTTATCATATGATTGCTCCAACTAGTTATCATATGATTGCTCCAACTAGTTATCATATCATTGCTCCAACTAGTTATCATATGATTGCTCCAACTAGTTATCATATGATTGCTCCAACTAGCTATCATATGATTGCTCCAACTAGTTATCATATGATTGCTCCAACTAGTTATCATATGATTGCTCCAACTAGTTATCATATCATTGCTCCAACTAGTTATCATATGATTGCTCCAACTAGTTATCATATGATTGCTCCAACTAGCTATCATATGATTGCTCCAACTAGTTATCAGATTCTCCAACTAGTTATCATATGATTGCTCCAACTAGTTATCATATGATTGCTCCAACTAGTTATCATATGATTGCTCCAACTAGTTATCATATGATTGCTCCAACTGGTTATCATATGATTGCTCCAACTAGTTATGCTCTGATTAGTTATCTAGTTATGCTCCAACTAGTTATCATATCATTGCTCCAACTAGTTATCATATCATTGCTCCAACTAGTTGATTGCTCATGGTAATATATCATATTCCCATACTAGTTATCATATGATCATGCCTTAAATTGTGCTCAAGCTGTTTATAAGAAATATAGAAATAGACATAAGTAAAGAAGCACCAAGATTAGTGATATATAATGTTACTTTAGTGATATATCGTGCTCAAACTAGTTATTTTGAATGCTCTTTATTTTAGGTGATGAGAACAAGCATGTGGTTGTTACTAGAAATGGTTTTATTTGGAGCATTATTGTTATATGCCACAGTAAGTATCATGGACCTTGAACAATCTTGAAATTTTTTTATTTTTTTAGCTGTGAAAGTTAAAACAATTTAGTTATTAAAGACACTTGGTATTGATATATTGGTTAGAATATTGAATACTTTTTTGGTATAAATAAATACAGGATCTTTTTATATATATGATCTTGTCTTTTCCAGGTTGTGATCCAATATTTTGAACCTACAACATTGACTTGTGTACTGGTGCCATGGTTCCGAGAGATCGGATTTGCTATAGTGTATGGGGCCCTGTTACTAAAAATATATAGGTAAGGCTGGCAGTTTATTGTTTTTAGGATAACATAGGGGTGTATAGTTTTTACTGGTATTTAAAAAGAAAATATTTTTGTTTCTATTAAATCTATTAAAAAAATTGAATATGTAATAAAACTCATAAATATCCATCAAAAACATCCCAAACCTTTATAAAAAACATTTGCTCCTATTTTAGCTGTTTGTTACAATTTTGTAGATGATCTTATCTGGACCAATATTTGATGGTATATCATGATAACTACCATATATATCAGGCAATATTTCAGTATTTTTGAATGATTCAATATTAATAACGATAGAAAGTACTATACATGTATATCTCAATATATTGGTATATCGCCAAACTCTTTAAGCAGAGTTTATAGTTTGGTATGCAAAGGAAACTGGGATCAGGTTGTGCTGGGGGTTGTTGCTTCGACAAGGAAAAATATGCTTTTTTTGATTTCCAACAGTCAAGGGATCTCAAACAGTCTAACCTGCAGCACACAGGGTCAAAGTTTATTGTCCTATTCAAAATTTGGACCCTTTTTCTTTGACATACTCTCCGATCCGCATCACTGACAAATAAAAAAACCAGGGTGAGCAAATGTATGTCTGTCTAAGCTCTCTCTCTAAGCTATCTCATCTTCACAATGTCAAGCTATTGAAAACTTGGTTTAATACCTTGACTGCAATAGTCACTATTCTTGTATCAGAGATTGCTGCGATTTGATTGAATTGTACGCCAGTGAATACAAACAATCAGAGCCCTGAAAAAAAGACTGTAAACATTATGGCTTATGGCTTTATGTTGAGAGCTCTATTCACTTGTAATACAATCAAATGGCTTTATTTATAAACATTAGTGATAGACCTGATCATTTCATGATTAGTGATAGGCTTACATACATAGTGGCTATTGCGGTCATTGACGTAATAGCTTGACATTGTGAAGATGAAGCTATCTTAGCACATGCAAACGTATTAAAACTGTCCTTTGTTACATATACTTAATTAGATTTATTAATTAGTCAACAGGATGCTAATTTTAGTCTGAACTAATTACAGAAGACCCTAATTAGCTATCAGTAGAAATGTTTGTTAATATTTAATGATACAGATGCTACTAATTATTGACAAATATATAGAGGTCAAAGGTTGAATGGTTTTGAGGTCAAAAAATAAATCAATAGGGCTCTTTAAAGGGATACTACATCTAAGGATGAACATAAAATTTTAATTTTGCTCAAATTTGGCGATTAACAGTATATAATCCATCAGTGGACTTACCTGGTGTCCTAACTATACATCAAAATCCCTCTATAATCCGATATATCCACAAAATCAAGTAATTAATTATTAAACGCTGAATACATCCATTAAGTGATTTTCAAATCGTGAGTCTAGGAAATCCGGTGTAATCACAAGGGGAAGTAACTCTTAAGTGGGGTTTACAGTTTCCTTGACCTCTACTCTTGAATTGACCTCGACATTGTCATATTTTGAAGACGGAATAATGATGCCTTATAGGAGATTAAGCGACTCTGCGAAAAAAGCAATTCATATAATTTAGAATGAATACTCCACCACTGACACAATTTTCAACAAATATTAATCATTTGCAAAGTTTGTCTGTATACACCAGAAGATGATTGTTTCCTGTTATAGTGTTGATTACCCAGACTCTTTTTTTCTCAAACTGAAGGGATTCATCGCTTGCTCACTTTTTAAAAAAAATTCTGATTATAGTTTTATTGTCGATTTTTCAAACTTGATAAAGTGTGGGATTCATACTTATTTAGCCAATGGTCACTATTAAACACAAATATTAGCCACAGGACGAGTGTATTCTAAGAAGTAGTATCCCTTTAAAGGGGACACTCACTAAATTTCATCAAAATCAATCAAGAACATTGTTTGTTTAAGAGTGTACACTTTTTTTTCATGACCTAGTTGAAAAATCTGAAGGTTTGACAAACCCTTAGGAAAGGAAGCCAGCATATAACTCACTGAGCCATTCCTTGTTTCAGCTAATGTATATAGCAGAATGTAGATCATTATATAAAAATAGCAAAGGAAGAATAACACTTGAGAAATCTGTTAAGAACATTATGGTAAATGATTCTGTAATTGTTTACATTAAAATAATGTTATGTACCTTACTGAACTTAATAAACCTTACACTGTATAGATTGCAGACAGCTAGACACCCTCCTTAGAGTTTTCACATTGCAGAAAATTCTTATTGATTACTTGCTGCTGTACAGTGAGTTAGTATATATAGACAGCATACAGCTACACTTTCATGGCTCAAATACTGCCTACATATACCACCATCAGTGAATTCATCAGCAGCATTAAATTAAGGATGGCACACACCCCCCTTTTTTCTTTACGCTGATAATATCAAAGTAGAAAAAAAAAACGTCTAGTTTACGATAGGTCTATGAAAAAATCAGGAGTGATCTGGAGGTATCTGGCATGTTTGATCCAAAGACAACCAATAGATTTCAATGTAGGTATCACATGGTCACTTTTGGATGACATATTGTTTACGGTAGCTTTACAAAAACCGATTGAGGCGATAAACAAATCGGCAAGTATACGCTGATTGTATGTCCTGATAATTTGACGCCTTCATTATTATGTAAAAAAGATCTCATCAATTACATTATCAGTTGCATCAAGTACACATACTAGCAAGCAGATAAACTTTCTTTCTGGAATGCTAGAAAAATCTGGAAGACTTGGAGAAGCTTTAAAAAGCGTTCAGTGGAAAAATAATAATAACTGTGAAAACCTCAGTGATTATATTATCTCTGTTAATATCAGACTTGGCCAGGTGTCACATAAAGTATCTATTGTATTGTAACAAATTGGAGATAAATAAAATATGAATTGTAAATGGTATAGAATGACGCTATAATGGCTGTATCAATGAATATTTCACTATTATTCACTTAATTATCATCATAGTCAATATCTATTTATTCGTGGGAAACTTAATGTTGATAACCTGTTTCTGTTCATTCCTGGGAAACTTAGTCTTGAGAACCTGTTTCTATTAATTCCTGGGAAATGGGGTGTTGATAACTAGTTTCTATCTATATATTCATGGTAAACTGGGTGTTAATAATCTGTTTCTATTCATTCCTGGGAAAATAGGTGTCTATCACCATGCGATATTATAGGATTATCTATTTACCTTCATTAAGAGAAATGCACTAATTAAATACGGTAGTAATCTGAGTTAATCTCTACTTATTTTTAATCTGTTAATCTATATATGTATCATCGGTGAGTTTGCATATTCTATGGATTGCCATGGTTATCCAGGTAAAGGTAGCCTATATATTGGAAAGTAAACATTGTATCAAAAAGAGAAAAGAGGAGAGAGATCACAGAGACAGAATAGAAGACAACAACCCTGATCTGAATGTGTAAATATTTGTATAAATGAATAACTTGTAGATATATCATTATTGTTACTGAAGAATTAATACTTATCAACTATACAAGAGTTACGTATTTTTATGAAGAGATTATGTCCTATAAGAGGAACCTATCCTACAGAGTGTCCCAATCGGTCTCGCTAAAGCTACACCCCTAGATTAAGTTAGAGACCGGTAGGTGATATATGGTGGAGATGAGCCGGGTAACTCACATCAAATGAGATGCTAGAGTTGAAAAATACGATCCAGGTATCTCTCATAGAAAACAGATGAAAGTGATGATTTAACCAAGACAGCAGACAGGAGATACAAGGTGGACAAATTTAGTGGAATGGTATAAAGAGATCAGAGAAAGAAGTTTAGCAAGTTAAATCAAATATTTCTTGTTCTATGCTCTGAAGTTTACAATTTTGTGTGAGAAAATAATAATTCATATATTTTGTTTGGACTAATAATTGTTGAAGTTATACAACAAAGGTTTCAATTAATAAAAAAATGGATAGCAACACCAAACCTTTAAAAGTTGATCTTAATTTGATTATGCCACTGAAAAATAATTGTATTGACTTAAAAATACAGAATAATTTAATATCTGGTCTAATAGACACAGGGGCATCAATATCTTGCATCTCCAAAGCTCTGCTAAAGAAAGCATTACCAAATGCTATAATATCACCATCTGATATTAAATCCATTCTAACGGTTGGTAAAGATATTATACATTGTGATGGGTCTACAATTGTAGAGTTATTAATTGCTGGTTAAATAATTA